ATTTCGTGTTAACGCGTTTTTCTTCCCATCTCACGTGGTAAGAAATATGAATCCTTCAAGATTTAATTATAATTTCATTGTAATGTTATACTTTTTCGTAAACAGCCGTTTATCGTATTAGCATATCAATGACATTACCATGCTAAAATAAAATTATTCATATAAAATTGAGAGGATTTCTCGTTGATAATTTTGAGAATAAAATGGCATAACATACCTTTATATATCGATAAGGCCTTTATTTCGTCAATTCTTAATCCCTAGTTGTGAACGTGTGATTCTTAACACATCGTATTTGAAACTGATATTGTATACGGTTTGGGATGCCTGTCTTATCATTGATATGAGTTACACAAATAATAGGCCCAAGAGTTTTTATATTACACGGGTTTCTTATCAACCATCGAGCAGTTAACAACATAATTTATAAAGCTTTCCTTCATCACAGGATTTCAATAATACAGATAGTCTGTTACACTCTATAAATATTTCAATCGTATTGATACTTGTTTATATTATGAAGCCCACCCAGATCATCGTTACATCCCTAATATTAATATACTACAGACAAATACTTCTATCAAATTCCTACGGTTCCAAAGGAACGCGTAGTTCGAAATCTTTCAAAATCGGATTGTTCTCCAGACATGGATTATATCTTATCCATAAATTTGGACTCACTCCACTAATTCAATTGCCATCTCTTTCATTATAAATCAAGCTATTCAACCTACTTCTAATTTTTACAAACTTACTTTTTCGAAAACTTACCAATCAGGGTGCATCTTGATAATGCTTAGTGTGTATAGTTCGGAAATACCCGGATACATAAGGGTATCTTTCCTTGCTTTGTGTAGGTAGGGTCATTCAGGAACTAGGGAGTGACCTCATACTGGTCTCTCTTACTCACATTTTCTCTGATACAGGACCAAATTGTGTCAGGGTCGGGTGTGTTCTCGGGATGCTGGGCAATAATTATGTTACCGAGTCCATAATATTGGAAATTGTGGAAAATTTAACTTGGAGAATGGATTCAGACAGAGGCAATGTTTTAATTAACATGTGATTATAACCGTTGATATGTGGTAATATAATATATCAGAAGATCTCATGAGAAAACACAGACTCTCTAATGGAAGGTCTACGGACGTACTGTATGAAAGCTCACTGTTCTTTCTATTCTGAAACAATGAACTTAAAACATTAATTGTTCAATACTTATGCAGACACAATAGCTGACCCGTTAGGGGAGGGGGGGAGGGGGGGGGGGGAGGGGGTGGGGGCAAGTGATATGAGTAATGGGATTATTTGAGGGGGCAATTTGTTTTTTTTGGGGGGGGGGGGGCATTTCCAACTGGATGGAAAATGCTGAGTTGACGAGAAAGACTATCCTTTGTGGAGTTTGGTTCCTGGCTCGATACCAGAACTGGTTGAACTTGAGTTTTAGAAATTTTTATTGTCAAGTTTTCAGTATCACAAAAATTGTCATTTCTGATTGGATATTTTGAATAATTATACTGATAATTGTATAATTTTGTATAGTGTATACTTTATATTTGTGTTCTGAAATAAGTGAACGTGACATCTTGGCAATTAGGGATTATAATATTACACTACAAATACTAATACATCTATACTTGACGTCTGGAGAGTTACATTTGACCTTAAATCTAGCTGAGATCTTTTCACCCAAGAAAATATAATAACCTTGATTCGACAGAGTGTCTGTCTATCTTTTGATTTACACCAAATTAATATATCAAATACAATAGGGCCGCGTTTAATCGGTTGAACAAACATACAACTTTAGGCATATAGACACTCGGGGGAAATGGGATGACCACAGAGTCAGCATGGGAGTGTTTTCTCACTGAAGAACATTCCAGTTGTTAGCATGTGTTTCATATTGGTTTACGTTTTTCAGCCTCTTTTCATCATGACCATTATCAAGAACGTACACTGTTTTCAAGGCTCTAACACTGTTCAAGTGTCTGATCCTAGATAGTTAAGAATTGGCACCCTTACAAAATCCCTTTACTTCCCTTTCCGGTGATTTTAATTGGTCAAGAACTTTATCCTCGACCAATCAAATTTGACTTGATTAGAATGGTTAGAAGAATATTAAAAATGATCACTTTTCCGTCAGATAGACAAGATCACAGGCTCTGACACACAATATGATTGTACTACTAACGACAATTTATGACTTGTTACTATTAATTGACGGCAAATGATCAATTCTCGTTTTTCATACAATCGCGTGATGCCAATTAGCCTTAAAATAACGAGGAATGGGATCACGTTCGCACTTAGTCATCGTTAACTAACGCCGGAAATTCGGACAAATCACAAAAATTTACGTAATGGACATCAATCCGAAGAAACGTTGAACTCTCTCAGTACTCAGATGTATGAAGAATGAAGTCTGCAAGTCTGCAAGTCTGTGTAAAATGAGAGTTTGGTGCTGAGTTTAGTATCCGACCATAACCTTGACAACAATACATAACATCTCCCTTGGTAGCAAAAGAAAGATGAAAATGATCACACTGGTCTTTAAACGTAATTAATACCACAGGCTGTCGGTGTGTACGTGACGACAAATTCTATTGTAAATTTGTTCCATTATCAGCAAAACTAAACAGCGATTTGATGTTTATGTATTTCCTCCTATAAACTGATAAGGATGGGAAACTGTAGAATTATACGGCAGTGACTGAAGTTGATGTTGGTGCTGGTTATAAGGGTATTGACCTTGTTGAGGATAACTACTATAGGGCGGTACTGAGAAACTCCCTGCAAAAAGAGAATAAAATTATAAAGCGTCCAGAGCACCAGGCAAGCTACTTGTGTCAGATAAAGCAGTTTGAATAAATTATCGATTTGCACGTCTTAATAACAATTCTTATGTATTAGTAATTGTTCTGATTTACAAACAATTGCTTCTCACGTTCAATGTGTATAACACATACATATAAGTATAAAATGTACATGTACAACAACGACATGGGTACTTGTGTACTTACCAAGTTCTTGGTGGAAGTTTGGTCTGCTATAATGTTCCAAGCCTTGACAACCATAAGTCACATGATGGATCGGTACATTGCTAACCGGAAGTGATCTGTTATCCAACCAACTGTATCGATCTACTGTCGACGGTCTATTCGCAGTAAATGGTGGGAAACACCGAACTTGAGAATGCGGTTGTTGGTAAGTTGCACCCGGAAATCGAGGTATCGGAAGTTCTGAATTAATGTTGATTTGTGGGTAAGATGATTTGCTATTTCCATCACCATAATAATAATCTCCACTAAAATGTCCATTTACATTAGATAATGGCTTAACAGATGTAAATGGTGGATCACAATATGAACCTTGTGGATTTCTAGGGTAACGAGAGGAGAATTCGCTATGATCTATTACCCTTTCGCGCCTGACAACCGGAAATGGTTTTATAAACGCAACATTTCCGCGAGTTTTAGCAGCTTTTAAAGTATCGCTTTCAGTTTTTTGCACATTTTCTGTATCTTCACCTTTACCAACAGGAAGCACTGAAAATATTCAATCTAGAATAATTCTTCCATCAACATAGGGAATCATAACACTGATTTGTTTTTTCTTTCTTTTTTTATCAGATACACATCTCTCTGTATTTCGTCAATGGAGATCGACTGGTGATTCAACTCATCTCATTTAGTCACCCTGGGAGACTGTTTTAGCAAGACAAGTCTTGAGGTAAATTTTTCGTAGTCAAATTGAAAAAATAGGAATACGAAGTCGCATTCGATTGATCTGCATTCATCACGTATCGTAACGACAATCCTTCTGACTGGGACATCGTTCTCTTTCCAGAATAAAACGTGATTATATTCATTGGGATTGGTCATTGGGATTTATTCAGGTTTGTCACACTGTCATTACCGTGGTCAAAATTATAACAAATCAAGGTCTTACCCGATCGTGTCATATATTTCTGTAGATTGTTTTGTAGTGCTTCATTGTGTCTTTTATATTGTTGTGTTTCAACCACTAAGAATATATATTCATTTAACATCATATGTAATAAATGAAGAGATCCTACAAAAAAGTCAACATCGCATAGGTTAAATGATTTGTTGGGGATCATCTAGATATATCTTAAAGGGATTGTATAGAGGTTTTTTCTAACTTTTGTACAGTATGTTCTATGGCATTTCAGATAGTGATGTCATAAACTTAGTTTTGTGGAATTACAAAAACCAAAGACGTCTGACTGAAAATTGAAATGGTGCAAATCGATGCTATAAGTGTCCCAGATACACATGGAACCTCGTTAAAATCTTGTTAAATCTTACAACAGCACGCCGTGGAAGATTAAAATGCATTATATTCATCCTATAGCAATCCACAAATGACCCGTTTAGCTAGATTATACCATGATATATCTGGTTAGAACTGTGACAATACGATTGGGAGTTGCTTTATGATGGTAACAAATTGTTTTGTCTGTTCAAAGATAGGCAGAGATCGGGGTTCGCCTTGACTTGACATATATTACCGATGAATATATCATGCTAGACGTCAGATTTTAATTATGAAAAGTAATATGGACAGTTGAAATCGAGTTTTTTTCTAAAAGGGACTGTAAAGAGTCTTCTAAGATATTTATTTCTATCGATAACATCGACAGCATTTTGCACCATTTTCAATCTGACGTCTGTGATTCTTGCAATTCCACTAAAATTTGAAAATGTGCGCCACTGAGCAGTTTTACGTAATATTATCTTTAAAACTAAGTGTTTGATGACGTCACTAGTCACAATATATGTTTTATCACTCAAGGCCCTACACGATTAATGACGTCATCAAACACTTAGCTTATACTGAAATCCGACATGTACTGGGACCATAAAAAATTGTCAAATTACGGAGAGTAAATTTCTGGATTTTTTAACATCTGCCACCTCTATTGCTATTTATAATTCAGTGACAAAGATAACTTATTACTATTGTATGATACTTATCTATTTTTGTATATATTTAACTAACAGATTGTACAGCGAAACAATTGCAGTTTGCTGTAACCGGAACGTGAAAATATATATACCAAAACTAGAAGCACTTTGTAATGTCAGATCTCTCATAATAAATGCACCAATCAGCGACCAGTTTAACAGGAAATCGGCTGCAACAGCGTCATCAAATTCATCTTCTGTAACTTCGCTACGCTAGAGAAAGAAGAAATGCACATTAAACTGGAATTTGAGTCCACCTCCCCATTTCAAATTTTTTTATCGTTTCTCATTGTGGATGTTTGGTGGAAATATATCTAAAAGGAGGCATTGTCTACTTCAAATGACCTGGGAGTTCCTATTCAGACAGACCACACTGTCTTCGTGTCTAGATTATAACATCACCGAACATTAAACAATATTATTACTTACATTAAAAACATTCTTATCTAGTAATTCATCTAACCATTCTATAAGGTACTCGATAGAGGCTTGTTCAAGTAAAAGCACTTTAAATGTCTCAAAGGCTAGAATTAAAAGATTCAATGACAATTTAATTTACATAAAAACTTGTCTCGATTCCTGAGGGCTTCAACTGGTAAGATCAAGACCTTTTTCTGGAAATCCGACTTATTTTACTGCTGACGCTCAGAAGACGTTCCAATAAGTCTCGAATCTAATTTACTAAAGCTTTTCTATGATTAGAGCCAGGGTTTGTGTTTAGGACACAGGGTTATGTTCAGACATTTAGATTAGTGTTCATTATTCCGTTGTGTCCGCCAAAGATCTGCAGTGGATCAACTGCCAAAGACTGGTTGAACCAAGTCCACGGGGCCTCTTTAGCAACTGAAGATCTAATATAAACATACCATCTAATTAAGATTAGATTACAATTTGGTTGCTAATATCTAATATTACTCGTTTGCGCTGTTTTCCAAACCCATTTCCGTTCTTATGATAATATGTGTCATGTAGAACCCGATTCAAAACAGCGAATTGTAGGATAGCGAAACTCGGGGAAGGCAGTCCTATTGCTCTACTGTGGGCATCACAATCTTAATCGTTATTATTAAAAAACGGTTCCTACACGAGAAGCTTTGGTTAAAAACAACGTCATTATTATTAGACTGTGGTAGAAAACTTGTCAGATTACCAAAAAACAAACTTTAGATTCCTCGAACCTCTTACTTCACAAGTATCTCAGTTTGGTAATCAAGAATATAAACCAGTATGTCAAATCTACTTATTCGAATGAGGACAACCGACACAAAGTCATATTTGTACTATTAAATTGACATCCATAATATATAAATTCATACATCATTAGTGACATATTTCAGTGCTGGTAGCTAAATTGATAATAACATCAAAGGCAATTTTGATTTTTCGTGGAGATAACGCAAAATGTTACGCCAATTTCATAAATATCAAAGACGTAAACTCTAATGAATTTCCATTACAGTAACAATAAGGAATGATAAAAATAATCAACAAAACAAAGACTACAAACATTCAGAGATAGTAAGTATTCTGAGGTCGTCACGGCAATAGATGAACTGAAGCTGGGAAATGATTTGTGGGAGATCCACTTCACCAAGGTCTTTGACTACTGTGTTGACATTTTCTGTATTCAGCAAGACACCGCGGGCAGTCTGAAGAAAATAACTTGCTATTTTTCTAATATGACACACTAAAATAGTTATAATTGAATACTTGAAACTCCGAAATAGGAAGTGAAAAACCAGAAATCTAAAATAAAGCCGGAGGTTTGAAAATATCACTGTTTTGTTAGTTAACATGTCTAACTAGTTTTCTAAACTAATATGATTTAAGAAAGCTAATTGAACGCATAAAGATTTCTTTCCTCAAAATGTCAGAATGACTGTTATTGCAGGAACTTGATTTATATTAGATAGCATGCGTTTCTGTCAATTTTTACAAAACATATGTTGATCTTTTATGCTTCTTCAAATATCTAATAAAATAATTGCTGTGATCCAATGTCATTGAGAGTCGACCCGGTTTCACTCCCTAATACCTATATTGGCTGATTAGAAACAATTATTTGAAAGAAATGTGGTTATAATGAGAGAAAAGAAGAAAGATTAATACTGAAAATCTACCAACCTGGGATAAGTGAATGAAAGAGTAATGTCTTTTAACTATCTTAACAAATCTTTGACAAACTGAAATAGTCAGAATTCATTCCGTATCACAATACTATTAACTGTTCTGGAGATGGTGGAGACGTGGGCCCAACTTGCGGTAATAGCAATCAAAGGGGCACCGGTCTGCAGTATAGTCACAATGAAATCCATATCACTATAATATTATCTGATACTTGTTCATATCCTGAAGGAACTTTTCTTGAAATATTAGGATGTGATCCCCACTTGAGGTACCAACAAGCTCAATTCTGAGACTTTGAAACATTGCCGGTATTTTTTGAAGTTCATCGCTAAATTATATCCTAGCTTACACTCTAATAATTATTCCCAGAGGTAGTTTGTGATTCTCTAACAATACTCAAACATCATCATCATGATCATCATCATTTCAAATATACATACTGTTTATTTTGACATTTTGTATTTTTTGCGAAGTTTCATCAACCGATATTTTGATCCAATAAGGCAACTTTGTTATGAATTCTTCTATTTCATTTTTTAAGCTGTAAGTAAATAAACAACAACTTGAATAGATTACACCGGTGAGTATTGTGATCCAAAATCGTATTTTGCCTGATGTCCCCAGATATCGAAAGTGAAACAAGGATTTTATACTAGTTCACGGCAATTATTTTGCCGAGGTCGTGTTACAGTGTAGTCAAATGAGATGTTACAAATGCATTGTAGCCTGTGACACATCACCTGCCCTTGTGGATGAAAACTTACGATTTACACCAATAAAAATATTATCTACAGTGACAGGCATCTGAGTTTGTTTCTTTTCTTTTTGTTTGTAATATAACGTTTTGTATCACCATAGCTTGCCCTTATTAAATACTTAATGAAATACGCGGTTGGTGGAATATAATCACAAGGAACGAATAAAGGGAAATAATTCAATTCGGTATCTGTGCTTTTCTGTTGTACCTAATAACAATGAGTAAAATTCATAAATCAAATGTAAAATTGCAAGAAATACGATTATGGGACACTGATTTTTTTTTTTTGAACGAGGAAGTGCTTGGAAGACTCTGAAGGAATATGTATCACAAATAAATAGTTAAATTCTTACCTTTGAGGTAAATCTTGAATGGATGATGGGATTAACACATCTACTAATACCTGAATAAGTTCAAATATAAACTAGATCAATTATAAACTGATTTGATAAGGAATTATAGACCTAGGATTAACATGGCATCCATCATAGTCTCTCAAATCCCTAAATGAATTTAATATCAACCAAAGGTAAATGTTCTTTTGTTTCAATATTTTGTTCGAACCAAGAAAGGGAGATCAGATCAGCCAGGTGAACCACGTTTATGTAAGAAATAATTAGCAATACTACCAATATGACAGTATGATACGTTTAGTCAAGACTGATTGGCGATAATTGGTTTTATCAGTCGACACTTTCAAACCTTCGAGTCACAGCTTGTTCGGAATGACTCCTATCAATCTGGACAAAAATTGAACAATTTTGTGAAAACAAATATTGATTACTAGGTCCATAATTTCAAAGAGGTTACAATCGTACCCTAGTCTCAGAAACGGGCATTGTTTTATGTAAGTCAATTAGTAATAGTGTTCACAGATAACCGTCGAAATTTCAGCCTTTAAATCCATGAATTACCTGCGTTTGAAAGTTAAAAATACTCGAATCAACCCCAAAATGGCGCAATAGTCCCTTTAAGAAGTGTTCATGAAGTTTACAGATTAATTGAACTTCTGATTGAACACGTAGGCATACTGATTTGTGTTTAAGAAAAACTCAGAACATGTTTGAGTTATAAATTTGCTATGTTTATCCAGCTGGTAGAATTTTTTCGAAGACATCAGATGATGCGTGACGACAAAATATTATGATTGTAAACTTGCATCAGCAAATCAGCAAATTGCGACTAATCGTTAACAGTGGCGCAGCCAAAGGGGGGGCAGAGGCGGCAGCCGCCCCTCCTCGCAGCCCCGAAAGCAAGTTTTTCGGGCAAAAATCTCACAACTATATTAGAAATTCGGGCAATCCCCCCCCCCCCCCCCTCGGACATAAACCTGGCTCCGCCACTGATCGTTAAACAAGAGCAAAATGAAAAAGACTTAACACATCATGTGATACTGAACAGTGACACTTTGTCACTCTTCATGCCAATTATGACTTTCTGACCACTTTTTCGGAAACTAGGAAACAAGGGTTTAAGAATTACCTTGTACAATGCGGAATCACACCAGCTGATGACGTCGGAGGTAATCGTATTATTCAGTATTTCATCAAGGTGTTTTGGCATGCCTTGCCAAAAATGAAGCATAAGACCTTCTACCTGAAAAAGAGTGAACCTCAGATTTTACGTCCCTTTTCACTACAGATAAGGAAACCCTTGCTTAATAAGTTATGTTATGGCTTTTTACGAAGATCGTGGTTCAATATGGGCATGGGTCGAAATTCATCTGATCTGTAATTGATGTGAGTCGGTGGAACTATCATGGAAAAGGATGTAGTCGTTCTGGTGAGTGAGAAATGTTAAAAACGTATTTGCATTATACCGGAACCAATAGCGAATTCTGACCTACCTCCTCAAAATGGCTGCCTATAATAGTATCTAATATTCTTTGACAATGAGTTCTGTACATCATGAAGAACGTACTGATCTGAAAGGAAGCATGAATGTCAACTTAACATTAAATTCTCTTTAGACTTGTAAACCAGACAGCAGTAGGCCTATACGTTACAGACATCCTATGTTGTTCTTAAAATGAACATTAAAATTTACCTTATCCCTGTCGATTGATGGAAGTAGAATGAAATTATCAATATCAGGAAAGTCTGGTAGTAGAGTTCCAGTATGAGAACAAAGTGAGTACTTCTTTTGTGAACCCTGAAAAGGATTGTAACTTTTTTATCCTTGAATTCTTTGACTGGTTGTCCCGTTTATCTTCTGCCATACTTCACATAAATTTAACCATGTCGAATGTTACTTTTGCTGTTCTAAGTACGTTCATCGGACGTATGACTGACAAAATACTAGTATCATTTAGTTACCGTCAAATGTATTGTAACAATTTCACAGTATGATAACCTCTGTAAGTGTTCATCACAGATAGTTTATGATATTAATAATCTAATATATCAATCATAAAAGATTTTACTTTGTACTTTGAGGAAATGAACATATATGAAGTTTCTTCTGGGCATGGTTATTTATATTTCTTACTTATAGCCATTGATGGTAAAATGTGACACGCATTCATTTCTGATGGTAAGAAACACTATAATACTTTCCACAACTGTGACAGTCAAGGCATTTCAAATCAATATCTTTTGGATTTTTGGAAAGATAGAAAAACATTGCAAATTAACAGTGCCATATTTATTATTGATCATGGCTCGGCAAGATACAACTCTATTAACGATGAGGGAAAAAACTCAACCTGGAAAATGAATTTACCTCTGTCTTTATCTTTATTCCCGAAAATCTATAAAATAGAAATGATTTTGAACATTCGAAGTATAAATATCATTAGAGGGACAGGTAGGCCATTATTTTATTCTTTACATACTTTATTCTCAGAAACGGGAATTTTTTAGCTGAGCCAATCAGTTATAGTGTCAAGTCATGTCAATACATTGATAAACGAAGAAACACGAGACTAAACAGGAAACGCTATTTGAACTGCAGTATTTGATCAGATATGCACAACATTGAGCGCTAACAAGTTCATGTTAATACTATATTCAATGCCATCATCGGTTGGTGATCGAGGAAAAGGGGTAGAATTATATCTAGTTTCAAACTAACAATCCCCTATCGCACATTAAATATATGAATCTGTCAAATGTTATGTTAATTCTTTCAATTCGATCACCAATGCTTTCCATACTGGCACTATTTGCTAATGATGATAGAATATATATACGTACCTTGACAAACCTTTTCCTGTATACACAGATTGGTCATGAATTGAAGATTCTTTGATACCAATACCATAATAATGATACCTGTATGAACATATAACTTGATATAAAGTTCTAGATTTAATAAACATCAACCGTAATCCAGATTTTTCTGATCACAGCAGATCTTTAAGAATTCTGATATATAATATATATATATGTGATGACATGTCACTAGGGTCAATTGGATCTCATACCATTCTGTGTGATAATGACGTTATTTTAACCAAAAAAAGACTGGGCTGTTACCACACGTATGTTTCAAAAAACTTAATAAGTCGGCATCGGAATGTTCTTAAAGACAAAAGCTGAATGATTTCCATGACTTACTTTGATTGTCCTCGTGTACCCAGACGCCTTGTTGTTACTTTGGGAAATTTCTGACGAATGATCTGCAATAACATAGTATTCTGTATTTATGATGGCTATCTAGATATCTTATTTTTATCTGACGGCACAAGAAAAGAAAGCATTTTTAATGAAACAAGAAGACGGGCTTGAGAAGAGATAATTATATTTACTTATATAAGAAAAAACAAAAAAAATCGTCAGTCGAATTTACAAAGCAAACAGCATGCAATAAAATAATCACTATATTTATAGAATTTACTATAGAATCGTATAACATAGTATGTAATTTAAACAAGAGCCAACAATGAAAAGGCATGGCAACGGCTAAATTTTGTGTTAAATAACAAAATAAATAAGCTTGGAATACCTTGCCAAAAGTTGCAGGACCTGAAGGGTTTAAATCATTCCCTCTACAGAATTCTAAATAGTGTGTGTATAAAACACACCTCTGTAGACAAACACTGACAGATTCTTCATAGTTCTCGTTCAACCTACAATATATTATACGGGAAACGTCTTTAAATATTCGTTAACAACTGATAGAGCTAAATATCAGCTATAGGCGTACCTGACTTTTGTCCTTGAAATCACGAGAGTGACATTAACGGTTTAGCTGATCTGACTTAATTTATCTTTTCGTAAATAAGCACGAAATATAATATTTGTAGCACACGGGGCTTCAGTTTATTGCCCCACCGACCTGCATCAATGACAAAGGGAAACTGGGTTCAAAAATCAGTCTGGTCAATATTGGTGCACAAGGTAGACAAAATACATCAATGATTTCCTACCATTTCAATGTGGCTGTCACTTGCGAATGTTTCTGTGTTGTTAGTTTCTTCTCTGTCAGCTTAGAACAAGCTTCTTTCTGTACTTCTGAATTAATTTTTAAATAACATTACAATGTTTTGGGCGATCATTATTTGAATGTCATACGATCTTTAACTATTTTTATGCAGAAATGGCATGGTTCAAACTTAAATGTATATTTCAATCTCAAAATTGACCTTTCTAAACATATTTCTTTATTATACGCTCCATGCTGTTTAAGACATTTTGAGAGTGAAATAATGCTATTGATTTTCAGAAGTCTGGGTTTCAGTCAAATAGCAGATTGTAACAAAATTTCAAAAATAAGCTTTTATTATATTTTCATGCTCACAAAATCTTTCATGAGAAACGAAATCAAAATTATATCGTACAACCTCATTAGGAGTTATAATTAATTAGCTAACTATGTACATAGATAGACAAATAATGATGTCAATATTAGATATGTCAACAAGATTTAACGGTGTTTACACTTTCTGTCAAATCTACCATGTCCGAATAACCAATGCAAAGTGTTTAATAGAAGAAATTAAAGTCTTTCAAAATCCGAATAAATCCACAAAATTAAATTTCATCTTAAAAAGTTAAAACCCAGGAGATAAAAGGCAGTGTGAAATTGGTTCATTATTCGTTATTTAATACCTTGCCATCTCCAATATGGTATTTAGTTTCTGTAGACAACATGATGATTGATATATAAAAAATTAATATTGAATCAAAATTTCTTCTTTCCGATTGGTTTGATAAAACAAATTCAATATTAGTGCAGATTTGTGATTTATCGCATATATGATTTTGAAAGATTTGTGTAACTAAATTACAGTAAAGAACTCAATCGACACAAGTCTCTAATTTCAATGTTATATGATGTGTTCGATGTTGTTGAACTATTGGAACAACTTTGAAAATGAATCTATTTAGCCTACCTTGTTTTATATTGTGACTAATATTGTGCACTAACTCGTGTGACGGAGATCCGTATACCAAAGACCCGTTACACACAAAACTATTTTGATGCATTGGTACAACTTGGGTATAACCATCACCTTCTAGGTGGTTTCCAAAGTAATCCGGTCTATGATCTAATCCGAAATAAGAAGACATAGTCCATAAACAATAATTCCACGATTTTCAGCAATACAAACTTTTGGCATAATAAGAAGCAATAATGTAAACTGTATTGAAATAATTCAGGACAAATTAGTTTGTGGATCGTGCAAAATGATTTGATAAATCTGTATATTTTCGTTCTGAACTGATAAGGCAAGGTGACGGTTTGTATCCGCTATGATTCAAGTGTTGTGTACACAACATTCTGATAAGGACCCCACTTCTCAGACCTTCATTGACCAATACGTAGTTGATAACAGGCTAATATTGCTCAATTAAAGACAATGAACGTTCATTAGATTTCCTTAAATCAAATATTGGATAGTCTTTCTTATTATTTGGTTTTAACTTATCTTGTGGGAAAATTTTCTCGTCAAAATTGTGGTGTAGATATTTACTAGTGTTCATTATCACAGATTTCATTTAGGTACGACTATTCATTTAAGTGTTTCCACATTGATAACACTATCTATATAACCCGAGAGGAGAAAGGCGTGATTTTTGACAATTTTTTAGGGTGAGGGAGAATATCTTCTTGCATTTCTTTACAATCATATTGCCGACAGTTACTATTGTATCGAAAAATGGACATTGACCATCCAAGATATGGAAGCTAATAACCTTATAAATAATGCATGTATTCTTTTGACGTCTTTCTACCGCTGTAAAAAACGTCGTTGTCCAGCCCCTTCCTCTTCAGGAAACAACTTCATCAAAAAAACACAAGACACAAATAACAATGAATGGTTTAATATCACAGATTGATATTGATACTCAGGTTGAAATAATGTAGTCAATAATAATAATATCAGGCTAATAACAATAATGGTATCATAACATAATAATCATTTTAGTCAGTCACAAATATTTGTTTAATCACAGAGACCTTCAAAACATAAACGTTAAGTCTTTATCTCATCATATCAAATTAGTAGTAAAAATCATATCATTTTGATATCATTATTGTCATAATTGTGATATAATATATATATAATTATCTTTACCATTATCATAATTGGGCATAAATATACAAAAAAAACTATATTACAATAAATAAATAAATACAACCAAAATCCATAACTAACCTAGTTCATCTAAAATTTTAATTGCAAATTCACAGGGATGATCTTTTTGATATGCAACTATCTTGACCACGTTCAACCTACCAACTTATTAAAGCTTCCATGCTATTAGAAAAAGAAAGTCAATTACATTTTCAGTCTGTCTCGACAAACTAGCAGTCGACATTTGATGAAATATGCCACCACCTCCCATCAGCCAGACCAAGATTATATTAAGATCTGGAATAGCCATTATCATCAACTAACTTCACTGCAAAAGTTGGATAATAGTCATATTTTTTTACCAAAAATGGAACCTAGCAAGAAATCTATGGCAGTCCACTGATAGACATTCATTTTCTTACAAAAAAGAAATATATACTCAATGTAATTAAATCTAGGTAGCTTTAATCTTGTAGCCCACTGCACTAACAACAATGTTAAAGAAGATAATAAGCAAACGAAGTCAGTATTAAAAGTAAAACCTAAACTAAAAACAACCTACAGCTTGCATGTAAATCTGGCTATTGGCTTAACCATTCTTTAGATGCAATTTCACGGATAACAAAATTGCAAAAAATCCCGTATATTGTCCTATAAAATTCGATCAGTAGATACTAAAAGTACAAACACTTTTTCAATGAATCATTCAGCAATTCAAAAGAGATAAAATGATGAATGAAATTGGAATGTTTGTAAAGATTAGATAGGCCCTATCACTAACATGCATAGATAGATTGACAGTATCAGATATTATCATAGAATAGATTATCAACATAATCCTTTCAGAAAGAATGGACTTAAAGGCAAATTTTGAGTACCATAGTAAATACAATATATACATTTAAGTGAATAAATAATAGTGGTTCATTCAAACATATAACATTATAATGAGTCAAAATTATTCAATCTTCACATTATCAACCTTGACTTCATTAGACTCCTTTTTGTACCACATATGCAGCGATTTGATTGGATTGTATGGCAGCCAATCAGCTGATAATGTTTTGAACTATACTCAGATATGCTCAAATGGTACCACAAAAACCATCTATTGATTACTTACTACATTGTTATGAGAAAGTTTTAATACCATTTACAAGAAAGTAAACACTTGGACATGTGCTTATATGAGTATAACAAAAGAGGTGCGGGCATCAATAACCTATATAACAATAACAACCAAACCAAGATGTTTTGTAATATTGCACATAAAATTTAGAGAAAAGTTCAGAAATTTTGATTAAAGATATTACTGGTATCATGAGAATGGTAATTCCAACCTGGATGTTCAGCCTTTCACTTCTGTAAGTATCTAATTGCAGACAAACCATAAGTATTATTTGTATATTGAGAAGAAATAGGGTTGCACTCGATTGAACTTCAGCTTGATTCCATGAATCCCAAACATGCAGAATTAAAAAATCGAGTGCCAACATGGTAAAACATAGCTTTATCAGCTGAGGAAAACAATATTTAAGCTATTATAATAACTTGTAAGAAAATTTTATATCAGAACTAGACAGTAGAAACAGCATCCAGACAAAAACTACATTTTACAAACTAAATATAAGCTTCTATTAAGAACTTGGCACACTAATGGCAGTAGCAAAATGTACATTTATAATTTAATTGTTGCTCTTTCATCTAAATATTCTTTGATTGAATTTATTTAAAGTAATAGTCCCAGATGGATTTTTTAACCTCACAACATTTGATTGATAAAGAAGCATATCTAAAGCTGAAAATAAATGTTTTAGATACAAAATTTCAAACAAAATTCTGAGAGAATAAATTGGGCAAAACTTCAATCTGGGACAGTCACTTTAAAGTAAATAAGAAATGTTGTTGATAAAAACATTATAAAACAACAATATGTTTACTAGTGATATGGTTAATAAATAATAACAATAATAGATTGTGTTAACTTGAATTCTGTAGAATTGGTGTTAATGGTTGTTTGTAAACCCATGTGTCTTCTACTTTCTGAAAAAGCTGAAAAAAAAAATATAGATTATTTTAAACATCTACTCTTTGTCAAAAATAAAAGTTCAGCTTGTCACTTGTTATTACTAAATTTGTTTGGCCTTGCTAAATAACACTCCTGTGTAAAGGAACCAAAGAACTACTTATTATCCATGTAATAACAAACATATTTTCTGTATTCAAGGCATATAGCCACAATAAAATATAATCAAATTACCTTTGTAGGAAATTCCGTATTTGCTTCTTTTCTATGTCTTTCCCCTTCTCGTTGTTTGTCTTCAAGCTGAATAAATATAACATTAAATAAATTGAAAATACTGCCAGACAAGGTAAGAGTCAGCAAGTTCTAGAATAACTAAGGAATGTTCAGGTCATTCCTTATAGTGAAATCAACTCGAATACATGTTTAAATATTTATCTAAAATAGCAAAAAACTAAGGCACAAAATTGGCGCATAAATACATAACATTTTAACATAACGTTAATGAACTGATACTAACAATAGAGACGTCCTGAGAACATCCAGTCAGCAATAAGTAGGTCACCTATTTGTGGTCTATTGTTTACTGCTTGAAAGTTGACGGAGCGGCCACATTTAAAGTAGAATTATTGAAAGACGAGTTTGAAATAAGTCTAAAAATCATGATTTTGTTGATATTTGGAGAGTGCACATTCGAGGGAATTTGGAAAATACCGTAATCAGTGAAGTGTAGATTTCGGCTCTGGCCACGTCAATCAAACTCAATGATAAAAGTAGTCTGTTAAGGAGCAGAGCTTATATTTACATTCCGTTTACACAGATATAAACCGAATTCACGTGACCGCTGTTATCCAATCAAATTGCGTGATTACATATAATTATACTCACTAAATGTTTATGTTCTGTAGCTGTTTCAACATCACCTAAGCTTAAAGCTTTAGTCACATGTTGCCACAGTTTACGTGACTCATTATCATTCTGTAAAGTTTGTGGACGAACTCGCTTCTTCCATACTTTCAACTTCTGTACATCAATGGTTTTTGTTTCACCCTGATAAATATTATGTTACAAAAAATATATACTTTTTCATATTTTTTTTTTATTTTTAGTAGATGTATTGACAGAACAGTTAAGTTTGGAAATCACATCTACCCTACTGAACTCAATTTTGACTATAAGTATCATTTTCTGACATCCAGTTTTCCTTCAGTGACTTCAGTTTTAACTGTTATTATGAATTGTAAGAAATCAATGCAAATTTTAATGCTGAAAAGTGGTATACCTAAATGAAACTGAACTTTTCCGAAGTTGATATTTAGAAGACTCTTGCCCTAAATAAGTTGCTGAAATCAAAATTTCACCATCATTTTGATATAGTCCAACAATAACTTACATTTGCATAGTTGAAATCCAGATTAGCATTCCATTCTCCTTGTACTTTACACACAATATCTCCTGTATTACCATTCTTAACTTCAGCTGATACACGGTGTAATTTACCACCATAGAAAGGCTGCAACACAAAAATTGTCTTATTGAATGCATATTTCTAAATAATGATAATGTGCAATTTGCCATGGAAGAGATTTTCTCAACTCAAATTACCACCAGACCTTGACATGTTGACTGAGATTAGAACCCATGAACACTATTTGTTTGATGTAATCACATCATGTAAAGAACCAACACTGGCTGTGCTACAGAACCACAATTGATAATTTATACAAATTACACAAGACTTACCTTTGTATGAAAGACTACTGAAGATGTGACATTGCTTTGTGGACATGTTACAGTTATTTTATCACCCATTTCAACCCAAGGTACAGTTAATATAGATCTAGCATAGGCACTAGGTAAACTAAATATATATTCTTCATCATATTCTAATAGATGTAACCTCACTGGAATAAATGAAATGAAAATAGAGACATGCAACACAATACATATACAATGAGGGAAATTTTGCCAAGAGAGATTTCAAATAATTAACAGATGGAATTTCTAGCAGTAGGACTTATTATTTTGGAAGCTGGTACATTCTCTCCCTTTTGAGACACTTTTTACAGTTTGTACAAAAAACAAGATTGTTATTCAAACTTAACTCACGTTGAGCCAACAATCATGAAATGTCATATTCAACCTTTTTGGGTGGATGTAAAGTCATTCAATTCTCACTTTTCAAGACAATATTCAATGAAATATCTCAAACAAAAAACTGTCTTACATTTTGTCACATATTCAGTATTCAGTTTCTGATTTTTTCCTTCCTAAAAAGTCATTACAAAGCATGAATTCTATAAAAATTTACCTTTGCCAACCATGACCACACCAATTGACATTCCCATAAATTTAGATTTAGTCCAGATAGAAGCATTCATACATATCTTACGACTAGGACATTCAAAATAGAATGCAGACACTGAAATTGAAAAAAAGGCTTGTCAAAAATTCAAATTTCTTTAATAGTGCTTGAGATTCTTATTCCTGGTGGTTTAGATATTTTTTGCATTGATGAACATTCTTTGAACACATAATATTTTTGAAATGCAGTAGAAATCAATTATTCCATTCTTGCAGCAGATTTGATTTGAAATGTCAAGTGCTTTAACTGAGTTTTTGGACTATCTGATGTGTTACCTGGTGGATGATGTGAGACTTGTTCAGCACTATATATTAATCTCTCTGTTGATTTAGCTGTTGAATCATCAGTAACCTCATCAGCATCTTCCTCAGTTTTCTCTACTGGTATTTCCCATGAACAGTGAAATGTTTCTCCAATGATTGGGTTGTAGGGTTTCTTAGCCACTGATCCCTATAAAGAAAAATGATTTAGTTGTGCTCAAACTAATTTTCACTATTCAGATTTTTTGTCTTTACTATGTTTAATTAGTAGCAAAAGAACTTCATCTGTTTAAGAGTGACTTAAAAGAGAACCTATTCATAAAACACATCATTCCATAAAAACAAACAGCTCAAAAATCATATTTAATAAGGACTACAATATGAGGGAACTAAATTGTAGAGACATAGGAAGCCAGTATCAATATGTTCTATATTTACCTGTCGACCAGCATGAAATGATGTTAAATACCATTCTAATACAGCTAACATTCTAGATTCAGCATCACTTTTCTCAGGTATTCTGAAAAACATAATTTTGACATCTAAAGGATTTTTTTAGTCATATGGCTTCAAAAGGAAAATATTACTAATCCCACTATTAAGTAACAGTGTCTTATTTTCAAAATTGCAACACTCAAAGGTGCTATGAACTCTTCAATCAGAAATTGACTAAAATATTGATTAAATCATTGATTAAATCATTAATCTTACTTTAAAAACATATCAGGATGTGCCATACAATCAGCAAACATTTCTAATAAAGATCTTCTTTCTAATATAAATGTTGGTAAAACTACCTAAAAAATAACACATTTCCAATAAAGATCTTCTTTCTGATATAAATGTTGGTAAAACTACCTAAAAAATAACACATTTCCAATAAAGATCTTCTTTCTGATATAAATGTTGGTAAAACTACCTAAAAAATAACACATTTCCAATAAAGATCTTCTTTCCGATATAAATGTTGGTAAAACTACCTAAAAAATAAAACAATTCCAATAAAGATCTTCTTTCTGATATAAATGTTGGTAAAACTACCTAAAAAATAAAACATTTCCAATAAAGATCTTCTTTCTGATATAAATGTTGGTAAAACTACCTAAAAAATAAAACATTTCCAATAAAGATCTTCTTTCTGATATAAATGTTGGTAAAACTACCTAAAAAATAAAACATTTCCAATAAAGATCTTCTTTCTGATATAAATGTTGGTAAAACTACCTAAAAAATAAAGCATTTCCAATAAAGATCTTCTTTCTGATATAAATGTTGGTAAAACTACCTAAAAAATAACACATTTCCAATAAAGATCTTCTTTCTAATATAAATGTTGGTAGAACTATCTCAAAAATAAAACATTTCCAATAAAGATCTTCTTTCTAATATAAATGTTGGTAAAACTATCTCAAAAATAAAACATTTCCAATAAAGATCTTCTTTCTAATATAAATGTTGGTAAAACTACCTAAAAAATAACACATTTCCAATAAAGATCTTCTTTCTAATATAAATGTTGGTAAAACTACCTAAAAATTAAAACATTTCCAATAAAGATCTTCTTTCTAATATAAATGTTAGTAAAACTACCTAAAAAATAAAACATTTCCAATAAAGATCTTCTTTCTGATATAAATGTTGGTAAAACTACCTAAAAAATAACACATTTCCAATAAAGATCTTCTTTCTAATATAAATGTTGGTAAAACTACCTAAAAAATAACACATTTCCAATAAAGATCTTCTTTCTAATATAAATGTTGGTAAAACTACCTATAAAATAACACATTTCCAATAAAGATCTTCTTTCTAATATAAATGTTGGTAAAACTACCTAAAAAATAAAACATTTCCAATAAAGATCTTCTTTCTAATATAAATGTTGGTAAAACTACCTAAAAAATAACACATTTCCAATAAAGATCTTCTTTCTAATATAAATGTTGGTAAAACTACCTAAAAAATAACACATTTCCAATAAAGATCTTCTTTCTAATATAAATGTTGGTAAAACTATTCCCCACATACCTTAGTGAGATCCATGCCTAGTTTGAGTTGTGATAATAAATGTAAAATAATAGATTTATGTTCCTCAACACCATTTAATTCAGAATCAGTATACTCTGTTTCATCTTCGACTTCATCTTCATGGTTAATTTGTTCTATTGCTGGTATCACATCTTAACAAATAAATAAGATAAACAGATAGACATAGAAATATTATAACAGAGCCTATAAAAACATGTTGTTGTTACTCAGAGTTTCATGCTATGGGATCTTCAGACAAGTGGTCAAGATCGTATAGCGTGAAACTGAGTAATAATTTTTTAGGTCCTGTTTTAAAATTTCTATATCGTTCTACAATTGATGGATTGAGCACTAATCTAACAGTGAAAATATTTTATTGTTGTACAGATATACATATATTTAATGATCACCATTGCATTGGTGTTCTTTACAAGTGAAGACAATTAAGGTTAGTCCATCCAAAAAACATTGTGAACAATATCGCGGGTATACTAACAGTCAGTTTAAAAAACCTCATAAAATATCATACACAAGGTTTTATTTTTCTGTGGATATAAACAGAGAAAACTTGTTACTGTACTATAAAATGAGTTCTTGAGAGAGTAGGTCAGAGTACTTGAATTATTATACAAGGCTTAAATTGTGAAGGAATGAAAACAATGTGTAGGTGTAAAACAACTCCAATCTACTCCAACAATATACATCCACAAAGGGAGAATGATGTTGGCACTATCTACCAGTGTAAGTGATATAAAAATCCTAGAGTACTTACTGTCTTGTTTTGGTTCTGGACTATGTAAAGGAGCTGAAGTTATAGATGAATAACTTTCTACTGTAGAGTGAGTACTATGTATACTACTTGTTCTTCGTAAGGCTGAACTACAAAGATAAGATACAAATTTAAAATCTTTGACTTTAATTGACTAGAGCTCAACACAATGCGACCGACTAAAATCAGGACAGCACTTTCTGAACAGGATTGAAAACTAGTTTCAGGAGGTACATCATATTTATAATATTAAAAGTATGTTTTTTTGTTTAGGAGGTGTATTATATTCATATATAAATACTTTCAATTCTTAGTTTCATGTAGATGTTTATTTATAGGTGTATTCTATTTTATATTTATAATGTAAATACTTACAATGTTCTTTGTTTAGGAGGTGTATTATATTCTATATCTAATAAATGTTGTTTAGGAAGTGTATTAAAATTATAATATAAATACTTACAATGTTCTTTGTTTAGGAGGTGTAATCATGGCAGTAGGAGGTATATGGTGATGATGATTTGTAGATGCCTGAATAAGAAAACTTTCAGTTAATAACAAGTTCAGCTTTTAAGCTATAGTAGCTTAACTGAAATCAACGTAAAGAAATCCAATGTATATCTCCATCATTTTCATATGCATGAAAAATTGCTTTAAGTCAGAAAGTCACTTATAAAAAAAAATATACATATACCACATAACAGAAACATATTTAATATAAAGTATTTTACATACTACCCACCACCATTGAAAGACTGTCTAAAGATAATAAGTAATTTAATGTGAAGGTAATGGAAACCAGAAAGGGGTACAAATATTGTAATTCTTGGTCAAATTTAATATTCCAAAGGAGAGCTTCACAGATCTTTCTTTACGACAATTTGAAATTTAAAGGAGGATAAAATATTTCATCCTACAGTATATATATATTCCTTTTACAGGAAGTTAGTTTGGCCTTTCTGTATCAAAATAGTGAATTACAGTTTTGTATCCCCTTTCATTTGATAAATCTGTGAAGACTGTCAATATCCCAATCACCAAAAGGAATTCCATAAACACCTTCAAAGTAAGATAAAAGTAAAAGCTTATGATAATTGTCTATTTAAAGTAAATTTTATATGAAAAGCTGCAACCATGTTCCCCTGAGCTCAAAGCCAAGAAATTACTAGCCTCTTACTCTAAATGAAGAAGGCTTTCTATAAATAAACTGAAAGGAAAGAATGACAGCTACAACAACCTATGACATTTCCTCATTAAGTACCACAGGCAACCAAAATGTACATGCCAGATCTCAACAGAATAAGGTTGAACTGAACAAAACCAAAGGTTCAGGTTTGATATATGATGCTCCCTAAGCCTATATCCAAGAACTGATGTGGCTTCAGTCACTTTTGCTAACAACCAAAGCCTATTTCAATGCCTTTTGATCCATTAAAATTCATTCCATTGGTAAAATGTAGAAGACAAATTACCTGTTTAGCTTGAAGGATTTGAAGACACTGATGTAAACATTGCATAGTTGCTATGGATGTTGCTTTCAATAGCAACAGGTTCTGGAATTAAGAAATTCAAAACACCCATGTCTTAACTGTTTTCTACACAACTTGATTGTACAATTTACCTGTTACAGTTGTTTTCTTGAGGAAAAATACTAATTGAAATAATATGACTGGACTGGATTTCACATGTGCTTTCTACTTTGTTAGGTTATTACCAAGAGGTTTGGTCAAGGACTAGCAGAAAGGAAACAATGCTGTGTAACAGTAGAGTACTGTAGATTCTGTCAGTAAGAGATAATTAATGTATAAGTTGGTAAGTTGTGCCTGTATGTCCAAAAAGCTTACCAAGATGTTAATAGTATGGCAATATAACCATTTCTAAGCATATATAAGCAATCTGAATAAAATACATATTATACTTTGTGTTTCATTATACATTTATCTAAATTACATTACCAGAATACATTTATCTAAATTTCATTATACATTTATCTAAATTTCATTATACATTTATCTAAATTTCATTACACATTTATCTAAATTTCATTACCAGAATACATTTATCTAAATTTCATTATACATTTATCTAAATTTCATTACACATTTATCTAACTTTCATTACCAGTATACATTTATCTAAATTTCATTACCAGTATTCATTTATCCAAATTTCATTATACATTTATCTAACTTTCATTACCAGTATACCTTTATCTAAATTTCATTATACATTTATCTAAATTTCATTACACATTTATCTAACTTTCATTACCAGTATACATTTATCTAAATTTCATTATACATTTATCTAAATTTCATTACACATTTATCTAACTTTCATTACCAGTATACCTTTATCTTAATTTCATTACCAGTATTCAATTATCTAAATTTCATTACACATTTATCTAAATTTCATTACCAGTATACATTTATCTAAATTTCATTACACATTTATCTAAATTTCATTATACATTTATCTAAATTACATTACCAGTATACATTTATCTAAATTTCATTACCAGTATAAATTTATCTAAATTACATTACCAGTATACATTTATCTAAATTTCATTACCAGTATACATTTATCTAAATTACATTACCAGTATACATTTATCTAAATTTCATTATACATTTATCTAAATTTCATTATACATTTATCTAACTTTCATAACCAGTATACATTTATCTAAATTTCATTTCATTACACATTTATCTAAATTTCATTACCGGTATACATTCAATCTAAATTTCATTATACATATATCTAAATTTCATCATACATTTATCTAAATTTCATCATACATTTATCTGAAAGGGACAGGTACATAGTCTTCAAAAGTACTAGAAATGTACCAAAGTCGCGCAATTCCTTTAAAAATACATCAAACTAGGAATTTTACTCTCTATTTCTATATATGTCTTTTCCATATATCACAGAGTATCATAAAATGGCAGGTCATCTTTTTAACTTTAACAACCACAGCAGAATCATTCTCATACACAGTGATTTGACCTTGAATCATATTCAACCAATCTTTTTTTTTCTGTTATCTCCAAAAATAGGTCAAACTGTGAGCCACATCTAAACATTGGCTTGATGTGTTTTTGAAAAACATAACTCTAGTTATAGTTATAAAAATATTGTAAAACAAAATATGTCATATAATGCTGTATTTTCATCAAATTGCTTATTATGAAGAGATCAGGAACGAAAAAGCAGTGATTTATAAGTGAACAACTTACCTTATCCAAACTTGTTAAATATTCACCAGATTTCGGTAAATCCTGTAAAAAACGACAATAAACCTGTTTTTTTTACAAGTCATCAACATATCATAATACATGTTTTGTAAATCTACCACAAAATAATTTTCAATTTCATAGTATTATCCATCCTATTCATATTTTCAATCTTTATGTTAATTTTCTTGTTTTTTGTTAAAGGGATAGATGCACTGTTTTGGTGGGTTGTTTTGAGTGAAACTAAGAATTTCTTTCTCTATTTGTATAGATGTCTTTTCTATATATGGCAGAGTCTCAAGGATAGAAGACTCATCTTTTTTAACTTTCAAACGCAGATAATTCTGATACACATGGATAAGAAGGCTCAAATTTCAACAGTGAACTGTGAACACTATTACTGATTAGCTAAGCTAAAATATAATGTAAAAGAACATGAGAGAACATTACCTCAATTCTTGTATCTAAACTTCTAGAATAATCTTCTACTTCTATTAAATATTCCTTAGCTTCTAATAAGGTATCAGGGGAAACTGATTGATCTATATTACTGGTTTTTCTATGGGACCTAGTGCTGTAACATATTATATAAGTTCTATTTATGAATATTTAGTTGCAGATGGTAATATCCAATTTTGATGTTTCAACCAATATTATCCTTAGCATTTCAAAACTGTTCCATAAGGTTTTTTATTTGTTTATTGTTAAATTAGACTAAAATCTGTTCTAAAACTTAAACTCAGCATAATCCTCACCCATTTCTATCGCATTGAAAATATGTGGACAATAAGACATGCTTTCAGTAGTTATAAGACTCAAAATGGCTGCCCATCATAGTTCAACCACAACTAGATTTCATATTCATTTAAGTAATAATTATTAGTAGACTTTAGATGACTTAATATAATTAAGATAATTTGTATATCATAGTGAAGGCCTGTGCAACTTACGGATGATTTCGTGCGGCCCGTGGAATCATGTTAAATTTGAGGGAAATCTGACCCGCGAGCAATGCTTCGTTTGCTCTTGTCACTGTCAATGCTGCTCGTATATTGTTGCTACCTATTCTGATATCGAAACCCTTTATATCCGAGCTGTTATTTCAAAGTATGACGTCAAAATGAATCTAACCAATCAAATCATGTTTCTCATTGTTTATTCTATAATTCATTGATGGTTGGTTACGTAGCCTACTCACATCCCTCAAATGTGGCCCGAAAGGTTACACAGACTTGTCATAGTAGGTCAATTTTGATAAAATAAATTTTTCCACAACACTAAAGTGAAATATAATGGTTTTCACTGTGTATAGGTTCAAATACAATTAAAAAGGTCTAAGTAACAAACATACCTAACAACGACTGGGGTATGATGTAGGTTCTCATTAGAACTAGTATGAGGTCTAATAGTTGTTGGGGTACCTTCTAATACAGGTGTTCCAGTAGGCACTACAGAATGCTAAAATCAAGCAAAACAACAGTAGGTGATAAGAGTTGTAAAATGCTTCAAACAAAAAAACAGGGCACAGTTACAACCACATCTCCATATCATGTCCCATGTCTGCATCAATGTCAATCGTTTCAAAACGTGGGGAGCAAACTTATTACTGGTATTCGAGTCTTTATTCCTTAATTACAAACATAAAATATCAAAAATAAATACCTGTGCTATGGTAGCTGTATGATATTCTGATGTAGAGCGAAGTCTATCAATCCATTGTTGTCTTTCCCTAGCATCTGATGCTGAAAATAATTATATTATGTTAGAAAAACACAAAACATGTCCAAAACTATTAATGTTTCCCTTAGTACATAAACCTTGCTATTAGGGACAGAGATAACAGATATTCATGGCGTCTTAAGAATGGTCAAATTGTTTTGATAAAATTAAGTACAATCCCATCAGTTTAAAGTTGTAAACTATCAGTTGTTAGATTCTTTTTAACAGAAGGATAACAATTCCTCCTGTTCTATATATATTATGTAGTACCTCTCAGTCTATAAACATCTCCATTGGCAGCATTGACAGTAAAAGTTTGAGAATCTTCATCTGATGGTGAAATAACAGACGCCTGAAAAATAATTGAAATAATGTAGTTCAGAAAATAATTCTTGTATGCCAGATGCTGAAAGGAATATAGAGACTGTCAAAGCGTTTTTCTCCAATTTTAGCATGTTCAAGATTAAAATGTCCAGCTGCAGCCATTGTTCTATAAATCAAGATTTAATTCTGTGCAAGAGACTTAAATCAGGAAAACCATTTCATAAGAACAAGTATTTTCTTCCAAAAATTTGATTCGAAACACATGCCGCAAAAATAGAACAGGGGGCAAATAACTTACAGCCAAATGAATAGCTCCCCTAGGCCGTTGTTTCTTGTGTTCTTCTTTCTGAAATATAACATTCAACATTTTTATTCATTAATCAAATAAAACAAAGATAAATCAGAATCAAAGAAGCTTTAAATGTAGATTAACTAGATATTGACATTCTGGAAATGTATTTAGAGCTTAATCAAGCAAATAAAATACAATTATCCCCCTTTACTGAAATGGTGCTAATTTAAAATTCAATCTGAACATAAGCCTATTCAAGAGAAAGGCAAAGGTGTGACTATGACACTAAATGTGTAGAAAATGAAATAATCACCTCAAAATATTCCAAGAAACCAGAATCTGGGTCTAAAACAAACCATCGATATTGCCATCCTTTCATGACATTAGTATACTTAAATAACTGGCCCTCTAATGCTTGCCTGAAAAAATAAATTTATGTCCTAATATAAGAAGAATTATAGAAAAATATACATATAACCAACGCCCTAACAATTATATACTCAGTTACAAAATTGGGATGAAAAATGCAGAAAGAAAGAAACAACTATAAGGTATATTACAAGTACAACAAGTTCAGTTCACAATCAAGGATCCTTGGCCAAACCTTTAGGCATTGATATTTCCTGAAATTATCCATACCCATTTACAGCTGGGTCGACTGGAATTATGAGTGAAGATGACTTGTTGAAGGTCATCAGACTTTCACACATCAGAAAAGCAAATGTAACCAAGTAAATGACATCATGTAAAGAACCAACTCTCTAATCATATGTGCTATACAATCTCATGTAAACATACTTTCTATTGTGCTGTTAATTTCATACCTTGGAGACATTTTTTTTTCTTCTTCTGTTTCAAATTCCTATAAAAAAAATGACAGTCAATAATTTAGGGTTTAATGTATGCCTTTAGGTCACATGAAACAAGCTTAGATCAATATTTCTCGGTTTACAATAAAAACACACAATCAAACATTGTAAAATTGCATGAAAATTAAAAAACCTAGCCAATGTGTCGATGAAAACAATGTTATGAGTGATTTGACACACCATTTCAATATTTCACATCACTTAAAAGGGAACAAAAACTTAACAATAATATATAATATATATAATCTTTGCAATGCTGAACAGGAGGAAGGCTGAAAAATTATGTTATACTGGATGTATACAACCCCTGTGGTCTCGTGGTCACAGAGTTGTATTACCTGCATGTGTGTACACCCCCAGCCAGGTCTGCTCTATTTATAGAATGACATGTCATAATGTGTTACATAAAAAGGCCTACACTGGTCTGAACTAAAGAAATATAGGAATAGGTCATAATTATAGGATTTATTCAAAATGGTTTATTGTAGGTCTATTCCTTTATTAGTCCACACGAACCCTCGGATGTATTCTTAGTTTATATAAAGTCTATAAACATCAACACTGTCGTGGAATAATGACAACACTGATGTTCAATAAGAAGGAGAAAATAGCTTACATTACATGTCAGCACATCAATATCTGGTGATAAAATGTCGTCTGACACACCCACCTGAGCTCTCTGCATCACCGCCATTACTTGTAATCTTTCAGTCTCGGTCAAACTTGATAAATCCGGCAGTGCAAAGGTCGTGTTCGTCAAATTTCTCTCAGTGGCAGCCATGTTGATCACGTTACTTCTTTCAATCAAAACATTCAGTCAAGTTTTTACAGAAAAACACTCTACGACTAACGCCAAAAATATCTCATAAAATGACTTTTAATTGGTTACAATGGAAAATAGATTTACATAGTAATAAGAGATAGTTCTATGATTTGATAATACTTTGAACAAAAACAGGTCTACTCTTATCGGAATTTGAAATATTCGAGATATTTTGCGTACAACAACTTTAAGTCAACTTCGATTGCAAGTGCGGTGTGGTGTTAAAATTTACAATTCTTCAGTAAGTAATGAAACGAAATTATTCAAGAAAAGTGGTCTGGAAACGGTTTTTATATATCTGTTTATTTATATTTAGTATAATGATACGAGCCTTACTAGGGGTAGGAAGTACAGGCCTATGCTCTGTCTTCTGGCGCAACTGATTTTAAGGAGTTTAATGCGTAAATATCTTTTCGTTGTACTTTCGATGTAAATTGTCTGAACACTTGCTTTATCATCGAATGGACCAGTTGACATAAACCTATCCGTTTCACTTCTTATAGAACTAAAATCAAATCATAGAGGCCAAAGCTTCAAAAACCTTTGTAGTCTAATCTATTTAGTCTAAACTTATTTCTTTGGTACAATTTCGTATTTCCGTCTAAAAATATTATCAGAGTATGTTAGCAAGAGGAAGCTCGAACTATATCATATTTCGAATACTGGTTCTAACATGGTCTTATTAACCCCGAAGAAGTGATGAATGAGGGCGTGGTTCGATGCTTGACATGGTTGTTCCCGGATCCTCCTGGGCCACCAGGTCCACCGGGACCACCAGGTCCACCTGGGGCACCGGGGCTACCTGGATAACCAGGCCTTCCTCCTGGATTGCCGGGTCCACCTGGATAACCAGGCCTTCCTCCTGGACTGCCGGGTCCACCTGGGTAACCAGATCCTCCTGGACTTCCGGGTCTGCCTGGAAAACCGGATCCTCCTGGGCCACCAGGTCCACCGGGACCACCAGGGGTGCCGGGGCTACCTGGATAACCAGGCCTTCCTCCTGGATTGCCGGGTCCACCTGGATAACCAGGCCTTCCTCCGGGCCCTCCAGGTCCACCTGGATAACCAGGTCTTCCTGAGCCACCAGGTCTACCAGGTCCTCCTGGACTTCCGGGTCTTCCTGGGTAACCCGATCCTCCGGGTCCTCCTGGACTTCCAGGTCTCCCTGGATAACCAGATCCTCCTGGACTTCCTGGTCTTCCCGGATTACCTGACCCTCCTGGACTTCCGGGTCTTCCTGGGTAGCCCGATCCACCGGGTCCACCAGGGTTTCCTGGATAGCCAGGTCTTCCTGAGCCACCAGGTGTACCAGGTCTTCCTGGACTTCCGGGTCCTCCTGGATAACCAGGTCTTCCTGAGCCACCAGGTCTACCGGGTCCTCCTGGACTTCCAGGTCTCCCTGGATAACCAGATCCTCCTGGACTTCCTGGTCTTCCCGGATTACCTGACCCTCCTGGTCTTCCGGGTCTTCCTGGGTAACCCGATCCACCGGGTCCTCCAGGTCCACCAGGGTTTCCTGGATAGCCAGGTCTTCCTGAGCCACCAGGTCTACCAGGTCCTCCTGGATAACCAGACCCTCCTGGACCTCCGGGGCCACCTGGATAACCTGATCCTCCGGGCCCTCCAGGTCCACCAGGGCCACCTGGATAACCAGGTCTTCCTGAGCCACCAGGCCTACCAGGTCCTCCTGGACTACCGGGCCTTCCTGGATAACCAGATCCTCCTGGACTACCGGGCCTTCCTGGATAACCAGATCCTCCTGGACTTCCGGGTCTTCCTGGGTAACCCGATCCTCCGGGACCTCCAGGTCCACCGGGGTTTCCTGGATAGCCAGGTCTTCCTGAGCCACCAGGTCTACCAGGCCCTCCTGGACTTCCGGGTCCTCCTGGGTAACCCGATCCTCCGGGTCCTCCAGGTCCACCAGGGTTACCTGGATAACTAGGTCTTCCTGAGCCACCAGGTCTACCAGGTCCTCCTGGACTTCCGGGTCCACCTGGGTAACCAGATCCTCCTGGACCTCCGGGACCACCTGGGTAACCTGATCCTCCTGGCCCTCCGGGTCCACCAGGGCTACCTGGATAACCAGGTCTTCCTGAGCCACCAGGTCTACCAGGTCCCCCAGGACTTCCGGGTCTACCTGGGTAACCAGATCCTCCTGGACTTCCTGGTCCACCTGGGTAACCAGATCCTCCTGGACTTCCTGGTCCTCCGTTTCCACCAGAACCATCATTTCCGTTGTACCCTCCATAAGACCATTGACCATTTCCGTTGTTGTTTCTGCCAGGGTTTCCATTAGAATTTCCAGGATTTCCATTAGAATTTCCAGGATTTCCATTAGAATTTCCATTCTGTCCATTGTTATTTCCATACTGACCATTGGTGTTTCCATTTTGTCCATTGGTATTTCCATTCTGACCATTGGTATTTCCATTCTGACCATTGGTATTTCCATTCTGTCCATTTGGATTTATTGGAGCATTTGGATCTAAACATGCTTGTTGAGAAGGATTGTATTCAGTTCCTGCTGGACAAGCAATTATGAAAGGAATGTTATTTGCACAATTCAGAAACCGAGTGGGATCATCTGGGTGTGGAAATAGTCCCTCTGGTTGAGGACAACTCTGACCGCTGAAGCATGTTACAAATTCAGCTGTATTACAAATTAGTAGATTATTGTCAAATCTGTTTCCTTCGCCACAATATTCGCGGGTATAAAGTCCACGTTCATCACATTTGTAGAAGTAATTGCAGTCGGAAGGATCTTCAAATGATCCATGGCTTGGACACCGAAAACTTAAACCGTTGGTAACCAATCCTAAAAAAAATATGATTCAACTGAAACTTATATGTACAATATAACATCAAAACCTATGATCGTTTATTTAATGTAAAATTTGTATGTTTGAAATTAATACCTGAAGAAAATATCCCCGGATTGCAGTTCAGCATCTATTGTAATTCTGTGGAAGTATAGTCTAAGTTTATCACAAAAAGTGAAAGAAATATCAAACTATCACAGTAAAAAATTAAAACCAATTAAAATTATAGGAGTATAATTAATTATATGATAACCATCTATAACATTTTACATTAATCCTTTGCCAGTGCTCCTATTGAAATAGTTGCTGGAAAGTAACATTTTACTTTTTATCACTTATATTCTGATGCCTGTACCAGTGCTTCTTAATCCATAATCATAGGAGGATATATTTCGTGACATATTTGCAGCAGACGTATGTTATTCAAACCCATTTTTTTAAGCACATATAAAATTTCAGAAGAACTTACCTAAACAGATTAGTAAGCTGAATAATAGCCTCATTTCAGAAGAAATAAGGCACCTGAAATATAGAGCAATATCGTTCATTTATGAACTCGGTAATGCGAAGCAGTTAAATATTATTAGACAGTCACAAGCGATGGTTACATCAAGTGGTGGAGCAGAAATTCGGTAAGATCGTACTATGGGGCTTTCTATTAGAAGCACATAATCAATTTTATCGGTCAGCGATACTGCAAAAACCAAAATGATCTTAGCTTTCTTGCGAACAACTTATCCTAATTTAAGTTCTAAAGATACAAGAATGAACGATACTTACAATTTCAGCCTGTCAGGGTTATCCGAATAGATCGAGGATGAGATTTGATTTCATTAACACTTCTAGTGCTTTTATACTTTGTTTAGGACACATTTTAAAAAATAGCATCTGACCTGTTTTGAAAGTCACTGTATGCAATAATCTTACTTAAATTCTTGCTTTAAGATCCTGTTATTTTTAATAACACAACTTTCATCTGAAACAGCAAACATTTTCATCATGCCATCATGGGTTAGGTCGGTGAGGAGAAAATTATGGACAAGCACTCCGTGTATCAATTGTATCAATTACTTTCCAAATGGATTCAAACGATTTCATGATTTTGACCTATACAGTAGAGTGGGTGTCGCAGATCATGCTAATTTTTCGAAACACCCGATGGTTTTTTTTCTTTACTATTATACAACTTTTAGTCTCGATTTTGCCAAGCTTTTGGCTCGATTTTGATTAACGGAATTGTCTTGCTTGTATGGGTTTATATTGAATAACCTCCACTGTGTTCGGACCATGGCAACTGTGTATCAAGATCAGCTTTAGACAGCACGAGATGGAGATTTTTAGTATTGGTCCGTGTGTTGTGCTGGAATACAACTGAATTAGGAAGTAAGTGTGGTCATATTAAAATGACGCCAGAGCTTGTATATTGGGACTTTTAGTACATGAATCGAGTAGTGTACCTAAGGCAGAAATATTGCATGCTTTAAATGCAGTTTTTTTTAAAAGTTAATTGAAAATTGTTTTGAAACGTCAAACATGTTGGCACATTCTTTGCTGTCATTCTCTGTAGTGTACAGTTTGTAGTTTCTATCGTGTCCTTTAAAAACATCTACCTACCGAGAACATCACACATTTCTTTCAAAAGTAATCGTTGATTTTTGTCAAATCTGAGTTCTCAATGAGCTTAGTTTAGTGTTGCATGTCGGGGCCGTGGCTGCGCGAGTGAGGGTAGAGAGGGCGCTAAAAACTGGTTTGTATCCCCAACTGTAATTTTTTATATAATAAGTTAAACGTTCCTGGTTTAGACGATCTGGACGATGATACAAAATTAGTAAAACTATTCTCATCTCCAAGACTATGCGCACCATTTATAACTAGTGCATTTGAATTGAGACGTAAAACATCATTTGTATGATTAAAACGTGTGTAAATATTTAAACCTTACCCTTCTGATAATTCCATTTCATTACAAATATATCGGGACATTTCATTACGAAAATCATAAAGTATTCAATTTAAAGTGACATGTAGGTCCAAGAGGCCGTGTGGTTATAGTCTTTTTATATTTATGTAAATAAATTTGCTAATTCTTTTACCATATATCACTATAATAAACACATTTTCTATTCTATTCTATTCTATGTAACCCACTTCATATTTTACAAATTTGAAAATGTATAAACAAAAAATGCGTCAGAATACGCCAAATAAATCCAATTGATCGCAAAGTTTTTCAGGAGAACCCTCTCAGACGCTCTATGACTGAGAGACTTGCGACTTTGACGCGTCAACAGAGTTGCCGCAATGTGAATTCAGCCTCGAGAGTTGTCCCCCAATTGAGTCAGTCTCGAAAGTCTGGCGCCGCCACTGTCGGAGGGACTGGTCTTTCGGTTTGGGGCAATAATCCGAAGTCACATAATTATGCTACTGTCTGTACCATATTAGGACCTCTCTGTCGTTTGGAATTTGTTTCATTGTCAAGGGCTACAGATTCCAAGTATCCCTCTGTGTATATTCAGTACTTTTTGTATCGGGTTACCATGACCAAGTGAAATATCCAAACAGTAAATATTACAGGGTAGAAGAATTTGTAACCAATTCTTGTTGGCATGTTTTACTAAATATACTGTTTGGTTGGTAAATATGACTTCAAGGAGTTAATTTATTTAGTAGATTAGGTTTAACTACGCTTACTATTTTTTTCGCTGCACTAATGTCAAACTTTGTGATATTTAGCAGCGACTTAACACGGAAGCACGAAAATGAAAAACAGGTTAATAGCTGTCCATTGAAGGAATGAAATTTCAAAGAGAACACCTGACAAAAAAAAACAGTATAGATAACACCATATATACTGGTTAATCCTAGCTTTTATACCCACTAGCTTAAAGGGATTGTAAAGAGGTTTTCTTAAAAGTTTATATGTGTATGGGGGACGCTGGTAGCAATTATACTATAAACTAAGTGATTGATGACGTCACTAATCGCGAAGGGCATTATTTGATAAAGAATTTTTTGCGATTAGTGGCGTCATCAAACACTTATTTTTTGTAGGAACCAAAGCCGTCTGACTGAAAATTGGAATAGTGGAAATTGATGCTATCAATGTACCCAATACACTTGAAAAAATTCAAAAATCTCCTGTCAGGTCCAACAAAGATCGGGCAGTTTGCAATGAAGAGTTTTAGACCACACATTTTCGATGGATCTTAAATGTGTACAGTTTCTAGGACACGGAACCTCGGTTCATTGTCCAAATTGAACAACTAGACGCTATGTCCATGACAACCCTTTGACCTGCATTGCTGAAGATGGAAATTTGTTGGAAAATCAGTCAATATCATCTCGATCTAAGCAGAATATATTAAGTGGGTAAGCGTTGAGAGGTAGGCTCAGATAGCTTAAGTTGAAGGCCAAAATTATTTATTGGAGAAAGAAAAAAAATATGTTACAGAAACATTAAATTTACATCACAGATGACACATGGTAATTTACATTTCCCTTTTACATTTCAGATACGTTAGTAATTTACATTTCACCTCTAACTGACTTTGGCTATTTGCATTAAAGAGAGGATATTAAAAACAATTCACTAACGTTAGTAGTTTGCATTTCAGAAAGGATACTATTTACATTTCAAATACATTTATTTAGTAATGTTCATTTTAGAAAAGTAAGTAATTTACATTTCAGAAAAGTTACTACTTATTTACATTTCACATTGTACTACTTCTTGTTTAATGACTTATACCGTCAAATTCTCTACAATAAAAAAATTGACACCTCCGCTATTGTATATCAACGTTAAATATTTATAACTGGAATCTGTGAAATCAGAAATCAGAGTCATTAGTTATTTACATTTCAGTTCAGTGAAATTAATTATTAGTTCAGAGATAAGTTATTTACACTTCAGAGACGTTAGTAATTTACATTTCATACAAGTTAGTAGACATTAGAAATTAATTTCGAGTAAATTGGATTTTAT